TTGTCAAGATTTTTTTCCTGCCTTTTGTGGAAGCAGAAGGCGATGTTCACAATTGCCCGCAAACTGCCACGGGCTTGCTGTAGTTTTGTATGAACATGTCGGTTATTTACACGTGAAAACATTCATTCAAGGACAGTTGAAATTTACTCGGCTTTGTTCAATAAGACAACGTGTCTTTTTTGTTACATGTATAGGAGTGTATTATTTTTTATTTCATTCTTTTGTTACTGTGATCATTGATTTCCGCACTATCTATTTATTGGATTGTAGTCTCCAAATGTTTTCACACGGTTTCGTTCCCCAAAACAAAAAGAACAACGAAGCATCCTCTCAACCATCCAGTCATTAAAATGTCAGTAACGTCCAAGTCCAAGTCACATTGCGACTGACGGTCAGTCAGTCAGTCAGTAAGTCTTGGTGTCGAGCCCAATCTGGGGCTCATGACCAGATATTTGTACTGCTGGATATCCAGCACTACAACGCATGCAATAACAGGAGCAAAACACAACACAGAACACGATACACAAATGTATGTAGGAAGAATGCTCACATAAAAGAGGAATGGCGTAATTCGCGTGTTTGAGTGAGACGTAGGATGAATCCTGAAAAGTTTTATTATTTAGAATTCATCGACATATATGACGAATACAGATTTTAGTCATTTTAGAATGAAGACATCATGGCATGCAGTACAATAGTTTAACGTGCATCAAGACACCTGAGAATGGCACATTAGTGCTGAAACATGTAGTGTGGAAGTGAAGAATATGGTGAAAAAGTGTATACACTGTAAGACGGTTAGCATAAACCATGAAAGTGTCCGTTGCTGCACTGATATTGCTTTAATAATTGCCTGTGAATTTTGTACGCACAACTTACCTCCTTGTGAGGTATTGAATGTCCATTGGATTCTAGGTTCATCTTACAGTAAATAACATAAGAGTGGCTGCAATTTCTGTGCTCGCTGTGACCCACAGGAATGTTAATAACATAAAGGGAACAAGGTGGAGGAGGAATAGTTCACATTTTTCCCGCACTTTCTGGATAATTTTGTGGAGCTATTAGGTGAATGGTCTCAAGTGCCACCAACTTGTGTTAAAGAGTTGCAGAGAGTGGTGGGGGAAAAGGGGTTCAGATAGGAGGGTACGAGAAAATGGGAGTGATGTAGTAACTAAATCAGGTGATTCCTATGCGTCCCGACGCTTCTAACAGGCGCGTCGTTACCGACTGCTTAGGAGAGGGGGCAGCGGCGGACAGTGTGTGGAGCAAAACCAGATGGTAAATAAGGAAGGAGAAACACAGTAATGCGATAAAAATGAAGCCGTGAAATGGAAATTTTAAGAATATGAGCAGCAGGATGGAAGTTTTCGCTCATATAAAAGGCAATGATTTTTGGGGTCTAGATTACAAGACGTGAGTTGAAGGTCATTGCTCCAAGGGAAGGAAATTCTTTTCCATAAGAAAATATGTTTTAAAGAATATTAATTTCTGAGTATTATTTTATCGCCATTTTCCTAAACTAATGCAATTTAGAGTAAAAAGATGAAGAATAGCTACAAAAATGAATTTTAATAGAGGTGATTTTTTTTTTTGTCTACTGAAGTCGATTATAGCACTGTACGTTAATGGATGCTTGTTCGACTTCAGTCATTTGTCAACTGTGGCGAGACGAATAGAATTTCGCCAGAGATTGATTCTGTTGTAGTCTCAACCGAAGCACTCGCTTTACTGTGAGGTTTTCTTCAGGCCATCCAGGGGCAGCACTTTCAACTAAGCTGCTGTTAGGCCGCGCAATAGTTCAATCGTTTAAGAGCTGGCTTCCCACCGCGGCGGCCCGGGTTCGAACACGGGTCTGGTCAAGTGGGATTTGTGGTGGACAAATTGACGCTGGGGCGCGTTTTCTCCGAATACTTCGGTTTCCCCTGCCAATCTTCATTCCACAAAATTCACCATCATTATAATCATCTGAAGCAGGTACCATAGGCCAATTAGTGGCCGAAGTGCCGAGTGGAACCAGCTGGACTCCACCCCCCTCTATGCGAATTAAAAGAAAGCAGCTCTTACTTTGTCTGCAGTTTTAATTCATCGCCCATAGCGGTCTGATCGTCTCTTTTGACACCAAACGAATCTCATATTTATAAATATTGGCAAGGTATGAATCTTATTTTTTTTTTTTTAGAAGTTGAATTGGAGGGACTATTGGTGATTATGAACTTTATAGTCACCCCGTGTCGTTTCTGAAGCGATTAGTTTTGAGTGACATTCGAAAGTGATGTCTGTTTATTTGCGTAATTTTTATACATTTTTGATCGAAAATGTTTTTGGAACAGTGTGTATAAGTGCATCGTCATTACATCTTTAAAGAACGTAATGAGTGCGTTGTTATTGTAATTATCACATGTATGTCTCCTAACGATAGTAGCACGTAAACCGTAAGTAGCGGAAATATGCAGATGTCAGGCAACCCCTCTCATAAAGTCATTAGTTTCGTGGCTATGGCCGTGACTAACCTTATGTAGTTTAAACCTCTCTGCCATGGTCTGTGTTATAGTCGGTCCCCTAGCTTCTAATGTGTGGCTGGGAAACAAAAGCGAGATTGCAGAGTCTGAGTGTGCTATAGAGATAGGAGAATACTTTTGCTTAAAAACAAAATGGAAACTGAAAGACAACGGAAAATGTTCTTATGCTCAATTTTGAGTTGAATTCCCAAAACATTTTCGAGACTTGAATTTAGGCCTATACGTATGAGGGAACTTGTGCCAAATCCTTCCACATCTGTTCGTAAATTATTTGAATATGGGAAACAGTCGTTCCTTTTGAGGCAGTGAGGCAGATGAATACGTGACATTTGGTTACCCACACGAAGTGACAGATTTATGAATGCTAGATTTAATTTTCTTTTTAAAACATTTGTTAATTACCTATACGGATACAGTTTGTTAATATCGTTTCACGAAGCCTGTAACACCGAGGTGGTGCCTACAATTGCTTTCATTTGACGTACCAAGTAAGGGACGACCTTTACGCGAGGAAACCCCGGAGTTCTGTGACGAATGTTGTCCAGCACGAAATGAGACACGCTTGTATGGATAGGGGACCTTTTCCTTCCTGTTCGTTACCCCCTCATGCATTACGAATCAAGTGCGCTAGATATCACTGGACTAGACAATTTATGGAGACTGCTGTTGTTAACACGACGGTTAGGAAGCGCGTTGCAAGGGTAGCTAAACCTTTATGTAGGAGGAATATAAAAAATAATTAATAAATGTTTGTGACGGTGGTTCGTTACAGGAGTATTATGTTTGCAATTGTTCGTAGTGTTACATAGCAAACACGCGACAACTGGTGTCAGAAGTGGGATAGGACCAGGATCGGACTTAAACGCACCGGACGTTTCGGATATTGACTGTAGAGTCAGGCCTCCAAACTCCATGCATATCAAATATATCGGACAGTGGACAGTGGTGTAAGAGAGAATGCGAAGCCTTCCCCAAGCTATATATGACTGTATATGTCAGAGTTAGGACATGTTGGAGGATTCTGGAATTCCCAGCAGGAGTCTTAGTGTCAGTGGCAAATTCCCTATCCCCACTGGGCATGTCGAAACCTGCCTGATAGGCCATGTCAGCGCATCAACTCTTATTGTGCGGCTGAGTTCTTGGAATGAACAAAGTGAATGTGCAAACATTCTTTTCGAGAAGAAAGCAGTCTTCTGGGATGCGGCACTGTGAAGACGTGGTGTCTGCTTGCGCCTGTTCTCACTGTCTCTTCGCTAGCGGATTTTCTTATTTTTCATTCTACCCTGAAGATGGAGGCGATAAGTTTCTCCGAAACGTCTGTTAACACCACATCTACACGGTGCCACATCCCAGAAGACTGCTTTCTTCATAGTCACCGCCGTGAAAACCTCAAATCTTACATTCTTTTTGAGCATTGTCTTTGATGTGAATATACATTATGGCAATTTTTGTGGTCCCCCAAATATTGTAGAGGGGCTACTTGCTTGGCTTTGTTGTAAGTATACAGATGTAACACGTGACAGTGTTCCTATGGTAAATTTAATATCTTGCTGCCTTTTAGTTTATTTAGCAACAGTTTTGTAGACCATAGACTTGTTGCTAGGATAGCCCAGTCTCTATTGTAACTAAACTATGGGGTTGATGGCCGGAGTTCAATTTTGGCATGGCAGGAATTTTTGTCTCTTCCCCATCACTTCCAAACCAGCCTTGAGGCCCACCCAGCCTTCTGTTTATTGGATACCAGGGACATTTTCTCCAGGGGTGAAGAGACTGGGACGTGTGAAGCTGCCAATAAGAGTGCATGAATCTCCTCCAGTAATGTGTCTTATGAGACAGTGCTTAATTTAGCGCAAGGATGTACTCGTATATTCATGCCTTGGTGCTTAATTAATCAAACTTTTCTTCAAAGAATGTGCTGAAATAATTGAAGTGCTTATTCCTGTTTCTGCATTTCTGTAATAAACTTAACAAGCAATGTAAGCAATAACAGGACCAAATAATTGCATTGCAAAAAACAAATATTGTGTTATCATTACATTCAGGTGCTAAAATTAAAGAGATGTGACATTACACACATTTTCCCTTGTTTATTGTCAAGAGGCTGAACTGTGAGGAGCTTCATAATTATCAAATAGACTATCCTTATTATCAAAGTACCCATCAATAATGCAACAATATAAAAGACATCAAGAATATGTCACTCACAGAAAATTTATTTTAATACTTTATGATGTTAAAACCATTAAAATGTCAATAGGACACTAAAAGTATATTTTATACATTAAAAGTGATTATCATAATTTCTAAAATGTCTCTAGTTTTACATATATATTTTTTTTCTAATTTACGACATGTTTCGGCTGCACATGGGCCATTATCAGGTGATTTTTCTCCTTGCTTTTTGGGAGACCACTGCACTGTTCACTTGTGATTCCCATGCATGTCAGTGTTTAGTTCTATCTCATTCGCTCTTGTTCACAGTCGCAAGAAGAAGCATCAAGATCGGTCAGAAGATAGCCGACGCATGGTCCTAGGTGTTTCTGGTGCAGGTGACCCAGATGATGAACCAGAACCAGGGAAGAGTCGACCTTGGTTGTGGCGTGTTATGAGGGCTGCCCTACCTTTCCAGATGGCCATTGTGGCACTGTTCTGTGTTGCATGTCTGCTGGAGCCCCACTGTTGTGATGCCATCAACAACTTGAACCTTTCATTGACACCACAGCTCCGCTATGTGCGGGGCCCTCCTCCAGTCTGAGCAGTAAACATTGCCAGCTATTTAGCATCGATGTCAGTAACATCATTCTGGCACTTGAATGGTAAGAAAGGAGCCGTCAAAAGGAGACGAATCTGAATGCGTAGTCACATACAATGTATTCAGCTATTCCACTTTGGTGTCATTCCCACATAGGCAACATCTGCTGAATCAGTTCAGCTGAATGTAATGTATGTGGTAGAGTTTAATTTTTGGTGCTATGTAAAATTAACATAACATGTTGATTTTTGTAATGAAATCGTACATGGATATAGGCCATCGTAAAACTGATGGTCTCCTAAGCATTATGGTACAAAAAGCTCAGATCAGAAGTTTAATGTAGTACAAGTAATTTAGAGAACTGTGGTCCGGACAGTTCTTAACGTTCTTCGTAATCGTAGATCCATTTTATGCTTTTGAATTTTGACATGAGGACCTTTTACTGCTTTGTAACATTACATACTATATACCCTATATTTTACATGAATGAGTATTGTAAGAGAACTAATAGTATTTTTAAATGTCTCCCATGATGGAAAACTTGCTGATTTCGTGATGATGAAGTACAAAATCTGTTTTAAACCTATGAAAATTTCTGTCTTCTGGAGTATGACTACATGTAATTTTGTAGAATGGTACTTATGTTCTGGAGCAATGTGCTTCCTTGATCTTCAGGACAGAAGATGGAGACGACACATTCCACCAAAATGTTGGTGACTCTCTACCAAAATACATCTTAGAAGACAATAATTATTGTCGTCGTTACTGTGAGAACCTTAAATGTGACATGTTTCATTCCTATTTCAAAATTGTTCAAGTATTGTGCTTCATTAGGATAAAGAGTTAAAAGTTTGCCAGGTTTCCTTTGCACTATCGTCTGTCATTATTCATAATTGTAATGAGCTATATANTTTAAATATTTTAATAGTGATGTTTTAACGCGAGGGCAACTTCGGATTGAATGCGAAGGTTGAACGTGCATTCTGTACGTGCATTCAGTACTCCAAGCTAGTGTTGTGCTTTTACACATCGATATTTGTGCAGTGCCCACATAGCATATATACTGTGTACAGTTAAACAACGCCAGTGTTTTCTTGTTAGTACCATGTGCCTCTGAAGATGGTTTTACTAAAACCGAAACATGTAAGGCAAGAGTGAGAAAGAAGTGACCTAAAAAAAACATTGTTACACTTGACGGACTTTGTATTGATTTTAGCTATATATAATATTCATGTACTCTTTGTTAGGGAGGCTTTTATTTTGATTCTCTTCAGAAATTTAATGACATGAGTATACCACATACTGAAGATACTTAATGTGAGATAGAAAGTGTCACAAGTGTCCTTTACTCCTTTCCCCTATTGTAAATACTATTATGTACAAAAAGTTGAGTTGTCCTTGCTCTTCTTGTAAATTAAAGTATTCTAATTAAAGATCCTTTATCTTACTGTGATGCAAAGTGATACTGTGTCAGAACAGTTCTCATTTAAACATTTCATGATGGGAGGCATTGTCATACCACTGCTAATAGTTCATAGCCTAGGTAATGAAGTTCAGGACTGAATGAAGGAAGAAACAAGCACTGCCATTGATACCGAGGTGCATCCTGAGAATTTTTTTTCAATTAAATTCCTCCCTGCAATTATAATAATTTGTGAGAAGCGAAATGCTGATAATAACCTTGGAATCGAGAAATTATATTAATCAAAGTTTATATGCATAACAAACTGTGTGAATTATGTTCATATGAAATGTATCGTAAATATTTATGTGATAGAATAATTATTTAGTCAGATGTAAATATAATTTTATTCTGTACATAAGTGTGAATGGCAATACTGATTATGAATCATGTGTATAGGTTAAAGAAATTCAAATTGTAAGTTACTTGTGAAAAATACTTTGATTTATTTAGATTAATTTTTATATATAAACTTTGAAATCAGTGGATTGAGTTTTCTGATTAAGGAATTGCTCAAAGACGATCATTAAAATAGTGCAAGAGAACTGCCTTCATAAGTATCAAATATTGTTCAGAGCTTTGGTAGTCCACTGTTCTTGAAGATGTAGATGTAAAGGAAGTCACTAGTGGCTTTTAAATAATTGCAAATAATATATAGATCATGAAACATGTTTTGGATTAGTTGCCCATTTAAGTAATAACAGCTGTATTTCCCTCAGCTCAGCTTTGATGTTAATCTTTCATATAGCCATTGGTATGCCGCTGAGGTGCTGAAGGAAAATACAGCAGAGTTACTGATTGGTTGAGCTGAAGAGAAGAGCACCCAATACTGAACATTGACCGTAACTGACAGGGTGGTTGAAGAGCTTGTGGGGCCCTGGGTCACTGAAAAATGTGGGATGTGGGTGTGTATTAGACCCTTTTATTTTTTAGAACTGAAGAAGAGAGGAAGCACAATATGCATTGTTTTTTGTTGCACTTAAGAGCATTGAGGCCATCCACCCTCTTGTGCTAGATGAGTTTCTTGCCTTCTGTGTGGGACCCTACAAGCTGCATGGCTGTAGACCATGGTCTTCTTCGCCTATGTCTTAATCCGCCCATGATGACAGATAGTGCATTGCTAATTCACTGCTCTTCCAATAGAACTGACACAGAAGAACAGTGAAATTATTGTATGCACATTGATCCTACTCGCAGATGTATGAATTAGGAAGTATTTACTTTTATTTTGCTTCCTAATCATATGTTCCTGTAGAGAAGTTTTCAAATCACAGACTATTGTAACAGATTGAGAGTGTGAACTAATAAATGTTGCTGTTTTCTCTCATGGGGTATTTTTCAGTGAAATGGAGGTAGGTAATGTGATTCAAGATAAATAGTGCTGTGTTGTCATAGAGAACATTTTAAGAAACCAGCACTTCATAGTTGTTCTCCATGAAGTTGGGTAGAACCTGTAGAACCATGCCACAAAATGCTGTTGTTTAGTATAAGGTGCAAGTAACATTTTGTTTGACAAAATGGCTACCTTTGTTTTCACAGCTTTGTTCTCAGTGGTGCATACAGTGTGTACTTCCGCTTCATTGGCATTTCCATGAACAGGTAAGAGAACAGAAGGTATAATTTAACACACTGTGACGTGTTAAAAGTCCAGACATGGGTAAATGTGACTTTCTGACATGTACAGAGTAATGTAACTGTTGTGAATGTATATTGTACCAACATTGAGAAAGAGATTAGGTTAGGGTTGTTCCCTAAACAGTTAACAAGGCAATTTGAGGCAAGGTGATTATATACATGAAGACTTACTTCCAGCAGTAAGTGAAACTTGAATTTCAGGGATGTTGAAAGTTAACCATGCTGCAGGACATTCCACATGATCAGTAAACTGTACCATTATGCTAACAGTTTACTTTTTGTATACATTGCAGCCATAGACTGCTACTGTTGTTGACAGTGAAACTGGATTTGACAGCATGTTTACTAGTTGCCTTATGCCCAAGAAGTGCTTGTTAGTAGCTGCAGGTGCCATGGGCTAAGAGGAAGTATGCTATTGGTAGTGTGGCTTTTCTTACTCTCTACTGGCTGCCACTCCTTGGTGTGATTGGATGCTGTTTCAAATATTTTGATGAATTCCAAACAGTGATAGAAGTGTTAACTAATATGTGCAGTACTTTTTCAGAGGAGTGATATTTTGCCAACCTGAGGTAATTTGGTGATTAAATGGTTCTTGCTGTTTGAATAAAATTTCAGTTTTGTTCTTATTCTTGCATGTTATTGTCAGTTACTTTTATATCAGATAACACTTCAGAATGCTGAATTTACTGCTTTCAAAAATGACACACTAAGCAGGTTGGTCATGTGGTAACACTAGACTTGTATTAGTGGGGTTCTCTGTTTGAATCTTGGCTGAGGTACAGAGTATCATGGCCTTCATGGTTTCATCAGTCCCCCCCAGGAAAGTATTAAGATATTATCTTGATCGGGCCATTACCACTTCCATCCAGATCCTTTCAAATATATCAGTTGTTCTGTCACATGATGCTATGACAGCATTATAAAGCAACCCACAAAAAAAAATTTGCAAAAAGGATATATACCAGGAGTGAAAATCAGTTTTCAGTTTATCGACAGAAAATAAGGCTATTGTTTTGAATAACATTATTTTAAAATTATGAATTATTATAAAGTATGAGTTTCCATTTTTAATGAAATACCTTTTTGAATTATAGAAGTTAATAGTTCGCTTCATGTTCACAAATTTTGTGGCAGATAAATAGTTCTTTTAAGCTGATGTAAAATATCATTGATTCTGTTATGGAATCTCTTTGTGTGAGAACTTTTTATCCACATATTGTGTCCTTTGTTAATAGAAAATTATCTGGAGTCCACTGAATGTTCATTATTCTCCTCAAATGTGAATGTAACAGGATTTAGTACAACTGTTTGGAATTCATGACAACACAGTATGCATGTGTCTCTGTCTGAACGTGCTGTTACAGTATTTTTATAAACAAAACTATTTATATATATATTCCACTAACAAATATATTGTTTCAGTTGCATGTCTTTTTTGGGGATTATCTTAGTCTTGTAACACTGAGAATAGATGATCCCACAATCCTGTGGTGTTATTTGTATCTTCTTGGTAGATGCAAAACTAAGATATATAGAGGCATTTAGGTAGTTACCTGTAGCTGATAGGGATTATGCCTAGTAATTTATGAAAGAAAGGGTTTTCAGGAATATGTCTCAGTATTTTGTAATCAGGAAATTCATATCAGATTGTAGTAAAGATCTCATTAAAGACTATTATGATAAAAGCAGAAGTCACCTATATGGAGTAGTACACATTCCAGACAGAAAACATCATATACAAAAATTACATATTTTGAGATAAATATATCACTTAAAGTTCCACTTACTTCCATACTTGTTACAGTGTATTAAAAACAAATGTATAATCTGCTTTATCTTTCAAGTGCATGTACTTTACACATTAAGCGTGCAACATTCTTATTACTAATACAGACTGTGACATATTTTTAGTTTCCTGAGTTTAAGAGTTGAACTTTAATAACGGATCTCCACAACGTTTCTAGGGAATCCTTAGCTGATTACCTATTAGGTTTGATTCAGCCATGAATCAGACAATGTTATGACTGATATATTACATTAATACATTAATAAGCTTACCTGACAATTGACTGTAGTAATCACGTTTTAAATGTGAGAAAATCTCCATTTTTGGAGGATTGTGTTGTTGTTTAAAAATTAAATGTGTTCAATTAAATCAATTTTGAAAGTCTCTGGCCAAGTGGTAAATATAATTTTTCCATTGTATTCAGATAATAATGACATCTTAATTTCTGTAAGGGATGTTTTTATGTTTATCCTTTGTAAGGGAGATGAAAAATATCTCTGGCAATGGAACCATTTTTTTTGTGGAGATTAAATATTAATATTCACATTTCAGTGTTGAAGAAATGAATCGAATGGCAGCCACCTTCAGTCAGTGGAGATCATTTCTCCAACATTTATAGATTTAGAATATTTTTATATAGATAAGCGTGTTGTCGGTAGTTAGATTTATATGTAAGATTTTGTAGATTAGGCACAAACATAAGATGCCATGTTCTTATGATTTAAGAAACAAACAGTCACATTCGTCATACTATCAGTGTACAAGAAGTTCTTGGCGCATGCAAGAGAGAACTTCTCTTCCCCTTTTAGGATCTATGTTAATGAAGGATTAAGACTGAAATTGACTAGGAGCAAGACAAATGGAAATTTTAATTAATTATATTGGTACGTAATTTGTATTTGTGCGTCGTAGGTATTTTTATTACACAGAACGAATGAATTCGTCTTCAGAAAAGTTTATTGGAAACGAAAATTGTCACTTCTTTGTTTCAAACATTGAAATTATAAGGAAATTATAATCCTCTGTTGCATTATGGGTTAACATGGAGTAGGATGCATGGATGTGATTAACTTTTTGGATGTGCACAGCAATTCAGGAATAGTATAATCATACTGTAACGTACTATGTTAGTTCACATTTTGCAAAAATACAGAGTGTACATGCATAGCAATTTCTTTTTCTTTGAAGTGCACATTTTTATTCAGGTTTAATCATGCAAATGATTATATTTTTTTAATATAATCCAATTGGTACCTGTTTTATATTACTTAGCTACATGAAAATATTTTAAAGATGCCAATATTATTCATGGAATTATAAAGTCTGCATTTCTTGTGAAATGTTAAGACCCATTTAATATCATATGTTGGAGTTTGTTTTCGTTATGTAATTGTATTGTCCGAATTTTCCTTAAATAAGTTCATCCTATAGTAAAGCAATTTCTACTTATGTGCAGAAATACGTACATATGCATTTTGTTGTCTTAAATTCAGATTGAGGGTACTATGTGTGCTTTTTGTGATGAGCAGAAGCCTGTGCTTTATCATAAGTCAAGTTACTGTTATCTGCTTGTTACAGTTTTACTTTGTAATAAATAACACTTGGTTTTCAAATTAGTTATATTCATACAAATGGAACTTTTATGATAACTCCAACTTATGAATGATTGGCCAAAAATTTCAGTAGTTACGAATTTCGTGAAGTACGACGTCAACACAAAATAATTTTTGACCTTTATTTTATTTACATTTCATATATATTGGAATTGAAATAAAAAATATGGAAAAATGTATTGTGGAAGGAATTAATAATAAATATTTTAAAATGCTATATCTTTCGTTATGTTCCCTGAATTTTTCATACTTGTTCTCGCTTTCTGTGTTGTACGGTCTTGCATTTACCCACGTTCAAGCATATAGGGTTGCATACAATTCCGTTAAGTTGAACATGAGTACAGAGTGCCAGACGAACTTGCCTGGTTTCAATGTATGTTGCCGTATAAGTATTTTTAAAGCAGTTGATATAGACGAAAAAAAAAATAAAAAGGGCAATATTGTGAATTTACGTTAGAAGTTTGACTATGGCAAACACTCGCGGCGTGTGGGTTACTGAAATAAACTGCGCAAATTGTAGGCCCTGTGCTTAATAGTAGTTAACGTTACAATGAAAACAATGGACGTGAGTTGTACGGTATATTATGAATTGCATTCTTTGTTCGCGAGGAAAATTTAGCTTACAGTCATTATTTCTACGACTTGTGGCACATGTCCGTTCAGGTTTTCCACCTTTTATTTCGAAACTTGTCTTCACGTTTTCATGAGTACCGGTTCGGAAGATGGAGCGGAGCGAGTGATTTATTGTACTTCTGACGTAAATTTGGACACGAGTAATCGAAAGTGCATATACGAACATATAGACTAAACGTTTAAAAAATATGTGAGATATGTTTACGGTGATATGATGTGTTTTAGAAGATATGAGAGATATTTGCAGTTCATCAAATGCAGTGTTTCAATTAACCTTTTAGGTTACGTCACGTTTGTAGAACGTAAGTGAATGATGTATGTACAGGCATGCCATCTTGTTAACGTTATAATTTTCAAGGGTTTAACGTGTATACAGGTATACCTCACATATTACAGATTCGGTTCCAGATCACGGCAATAAAACGAGTCACGAATTTTTCGGTTTGCCAGTGCATAAAAAATTATGTTTGCACTATATGAGTAGTGTAGTGTATTGAGTGTGAAGTAGCATTATGTCTAAAAACAATGTACATACCTTAATTAAAAATACATGTATTCTTAAAAAATGCTAACCATCATCTGAGGTTTCAGTCGTAATCCTTTTGCTGATGGAGAGTCTTACCTTGATGTTGTTGGCTGCTGACTGATCAGGGTGGTGGTTGCTGAAGGTTAGGGTGGCTATGGCAATTTCTTAAAATAAGAACAATAAAGTTTGCCGAATTGATTGACTTCCACTTTCGAAAGATTTCTCTGTAGCATGCGATTCTGTTTGACAGCATTTTACCCACAAGAGAACTTCTTTAAAAATTGGAGTCAGTCCTCTCAGATCCTGCCGCTGCTCTATTAGTATTCTAAATCCTTTGTGATCATTCTAACAGTGTTACAGAATCTTCACCAGGAGTAGATTCCATCTCAAGAAACCACTTTCTTTGCTCGTTCATGAGAAGCAACTCGTCATCTGTTAGTTTTATCAAGAGACTGCAACAACTCAGTCACATATTCAGGCTCCACTTCTAGTTCTAGTTGTGGTGCTGTTTCAAGTACATCTGCAGTTACTTCCTCCACTGAAGTCTTGAACCCCTCAAAGTCATCCATGAGGGTTGGAATCAACTTCTACCAGACTCCTGTTAATGTTGATATTTTGACTCCTCCCACGAATCACGATTGTTCTTAATGGCATCTAGTGTAGTGAACCTCTTCCAGAAGGTTTTCAGTTTACTTTGCCCAAATCCATCAGAAGAATCACTGTCTATGGCAACTGTAGCCTTACGAAATGTATTTCTTAAATAATAAGACTTGAAAGTCAAAATTACTCCATGACTTTGAGTTTATAAAAAACTCAATAAAGCGAGGTATGCCTGTAAATGTGTTGGTATATTGTTGCTAATTTATGTTACGTGAGTAATCGACCAATTTTATTCTGGCGAATTATATGAAATTTCGTATGCTCAGCCCTAAAATATAATTAATGCAGTTTCACTGCTCTTAAGAAGGAAGACGTCAGAATACGTATGTGAAGTACTTCATATAGTATGTGCATGAGAAACAAAATTTTAAGGCAGAACAATGTCTTGTAGTCAGTTTTAATACATTCGAAAAGTAAGTGCGTCAATTTATTTAGCTCAGTTTTTCACTACTACTGACCGTGCTAATGGGTTTTTCGAAATAACGAATTTCTGCTATAATTATAGGAGTCAGAATGGAGTTATATCTTACTTATGGAGCCGAGCCCTTCTTGAGGAGAAGCCAAATCTGCAGCTACTCAAGAATTTCCCAGTATTTTATGGAACCTGAAGGTTCATTGCCATGTTTACAAGGTCCCTATCCTCAGCCAGATCAATGCAATCCATACCATCCCATCCTATCTCTAAGATCCAATTTAATATTGTTCACCCACCTACGCCTTGGTCTTCCCAGTGGTCTCTTTCCTTCTGGCTTTCCCAGCAATATCCTATATGCATTTCTCTTCTCCCCCATTCGTGCTACATGTGCCCTGCCCACCTCAGCCTCCTTGAAATGCTCATTCAAATTATACTTGGAGAAGAGTACAAGTTATGAGTTCTATACAGAGTTATATGAGTAATAAGATATAAAGCTAACATTCTTTTGGAGTTTACGAATTATTCAGCTCTCTTGATCACTACTTGCATTTTATCATTGTACCTGCAGAAGTATTAGAAATCTCAGACGATGTTGTAGAGGGATGAATAGAGATTCTGAAGCGATCGTTTCACATGTGTGAATACAGCGTAACATGTGTTACTAACCATGGAGCAGGGTCCCTCTTGAGAAGCTAATAGTTGCTCAACTAGTCAAGAAATTCACAGAATTTTATGGAACCACAACCTGCTTAAATTGAATATTCGAGACCGTCTAGTAGAGTTACGGTTTTTCTCGGTCTCTACCGAAGAAAAAAGATACAAAGATAAACGAAACAAGTAGGAAAAGACACAAAGGAAGGAAAAATTAAGGGGAAGCAGAAAGATCGAAATAAATCTGCCTTGTTTGTGGGTACGTAATTTCTACTTGTAACCGCTTAAGATACCTCACGATAACTGCGACATGAGTGTGCAGGGCTCGTTAGTAATTCTCCCCGTGCAAGCAGCCAGGCTCCACGCACTGGCCAGCTTCCAGGTGCATGGGAGGGACATGCAAATGCACTGCGGAGGCCTTTATGGTGCTGAAGCGGCATCTTGAAATGCACAGGGGTACCCCAGCCGGAAATAAGAGATAAGATTTTTCTTTCCCGCCATTCCTCCCTCCTATTTTTATTGTTTTTAACTTTTGTGTTTGTCGTTTGTTCAGAAACTTTGTACCAGACGTCACGTATTCAAGACTGCTTACCTGCATCACACAGTCAGTAGTAGGAAATCATGAGCCTTTCAGATGTAGTCAAGTCACTGTGGGGATCTGTAGAATATAATCATGTAACCAACTGAAATATTGCCGTCGAGGCGGCATATCGTATGTCTCTTCTTCCTTGGAAGGGATACTTCAATTTGACGTTTCCTGTTTTCAGAATATTGTTAACAGCACGTCTTTCGTATTCGAGCGACACAGAATTTGATCGCTAGGATCAGGGCGCTGCAATGTTTATTGCCTAATTTCCTTATTCGGGAAAGTATGAGGAGGGCTGTGAGATCAATTTGCTGTCCGTCTGTGTGTCTGTATTTTATTCTGTGTTTGTCTGCGTATCCGTTTGTCTGTTAATCTGTATATCCCCTCTAATTTTTGTTATGAGGCTTAGGAGATCACCTTGGTATCTGTGTATGCTCCCTAATTTTTGTTAGCAGGCTTATGAGATCACCTTGCAGTCTGTGTCCCCCCCCCCCCGATTGTTTAGTTTCAATGGAGTCAGTGTCGTATCAAGGGAAAGCAGACGATTGGTTCTTCCTAAAACTTGTTTTTTTTATTTGAGTTTCCGGATGATGTTTTTTTCGAACTGACTGCGTGTCGTAGAGCCTCGTGAGAAAAGGCTGTAATTAAAAACAAATAATAGTTATAAATTACTCCGATTTTCTGAGCACGATTTATAAGATACAACATACAAAATGATTTATTCGGACAGGGCGTCCGGAAGTCACGAGTGAGCCCTATTCGACTAGTTGACACACACTTGTATTTATTTGTACATTTAGCGACGCTGTCAGTAGCTCGTCGTGGCCACACTTAGGGTACTAAACCGGAATTTGCCCGAAAGGACAGGAAAACCATGACAACCTTAATCACGATTGCCTGTATCCGGCCGAGGTTTGAGTCAGTCACCTCCTGAATACAAGCCATAAATGTCGCACTTTATCTGAAGCCTGCTGTAGATAAGAGTATAAAAAGTAAAGGTATCTCTGTAACAGGCTGTGGAGGCCCGTAGGGTTGTGAGACGTCGAGGCTTCTACATTATCTAAACAATCGGCTCACAGATGGCGGTAAGGTTGTCATTCTTACTCACCGCCCTTTACCCTTCAGGAAGATTCCTGATACTCATTTCTGTTAGATGCTGAGTCGACCCAGGGCCATAGTGCAACTGTAAGGATTAGGTCAATTGAAAATATCCATCTCATCGGGACTCGAACCCGCGACCTTCCGCCTTATAGCATAGTGCCTCGACCAGCTACGCTACCGCTTCACGTGGAAATACTAAATGCGTCTAATAGGAGCCACGGAACTTGAATTTCGGTCAGAATGTCGGTTTATGTCTGTTTCATGTCTTTGTGATTACTGTAAAAGTTGTTTCTGTTCTTAATTAATTGAACACAACACCATAAAAACGTATGCAGGAGTGGAGGCATCACTCCACACATTATTAACCTGACCACTCGGTAGAGGTGAGTGACCAGCTTTACCCACGGGGTAAGGGGGTCTTGGTACTCATTAGACAGGGCTATGGATGGACTCCACAGTCGATCCGAGCGCTGTGGAGACGGGAGGAATTAGTTTGCCCCAGTTGTGAATCAAACTCCTGTTCCTCTGCCATTCAGCCCATAATCCCTCATTATACCGACTGACCTAAGCCGGCTTTCGTTTATGAATACTCTACTTTATCAAAACATCGTAGGAAAAATATGAAAGTTAAAAAGAGACATAAGATAGGGACAGAGATAGTCCCCGAAACGTCGCTAATTTTTAACCAGTTGACACAGCTGGTAGCCCTAGAAGATTTTATCAACAATAACAATATTGCCGAGGGCCATAGTTTTCCCATGCTGAAGCTGATATTGTTTCTTGTTAGTTCCATCGTGTAAATCTTAGTATAGTGCCTTGAATTGAGCCGGACTCATGGTCAGTGTAACCCCCTCTACTACCCTTAGAGAAATCTGCTGGCGGGCTTGTGACATGTTGAACTGTACACATTCAATAATGAAGAAGCATAGACGAGCGATAAAAAATACACCACAAGGAGTTTCTCGTATTCCGTGTATACAATAATTGGTTGAGGCACTATCCTGCAAGCCGGAAGGTCGCGGGTTCGATTCCCGATGAGGTGGATTTTTTCAATTGACCTACTCCTTCCGGCCGCAATATGGCCCTTGGATCGCCTCAGCCTCTAACAGAAATGAGTATCAGGAATCTTCCTGCGGTGTAAAGGACGGTCGGCGCGTAAGGCTGAATGCCTTACCGCCATCTGTGAGCCGACTGTCTAAAGAAAATGTGGCACCCTCAAAGTCTCACAATCCTATGGTCGTTGACGACCTCTTACAGGGATAGTTTTACCCCCCCCTTTTTTTTAATTACTCAGAAAAGACTGCCATAGATCAACAACAACACAGCTGATATGCCAACATCATCAAAGCATACTGAGGTTTCT